TGAACACTGACTGGCTGGAGGGAGGACAGTGTGAACACTGACTGACTGGCTGGAGGGAGGACAGTGTGAACACTGACTGGCTGGAGGGAGGGCAGCGTGAACGCTGACTGGCTGGAGGGAGGGAGGCCAGCGTGAACGCTGACTGGCTGGAGGCGTCATCCTTGCCCTGCCCCTGCCTACATATTCAGCCGTCACATCTGCCCAGCTGGTGTTACTTCATGCTCTGAAGGGAACTTCTGAGCCCAAGGCAGTGGGTCCCTGAGCACAGGCCTTCGGCTTAGCTGCCACCCCTACCCTGTCCCCATGTCAAAGCTCACAGCCCATGGATCATGGACTAGGCTACAGGCCTGCCCTATTCATGGGGCTCCACTCTGACCCAATCACATACCTGAGTCCCTCCCCACTCATGGCCCCACCCCACAGAGCAGTGGCCCCACCTACCCACTGGTCACACCCCACAGAGCTGCATCCCTGCTCACCCACTGGCCACACCCCACAGAGCTGAGTCCCTGCCTACACGCTGGCCACACCCCACAGAGCAATGACCCTGCCTACCCAGTGGCTACTCCCCCCCAGAGTTATGGCCCCACCTACCCACTGGCCACACCCCCACCGAGCTATGGCCACACCCCACCGAGCTGTGGCTCCGCCTCTAGCCCTCCTCACCAGTGCCCATGGTCCATGTGCTGTCGAATGAGCGTGTGCGGGGCTACTGTGCCGTACTTGTCTACTTCTGGCATATTCATGTCGTCGATGAAGTAGATCAGCTTCTTGGTGCCTGGTGGCCCATAGTTCCTTCCAGATTTTTTCTCCAGAGGCTTCTCCAGCACCCCTGGGGGCAGAGGGAAAGGGTCAAGGAGCCACCGCCACCAGAGTCTGGGGCGGCCAGCAGGCGGGCTCAGGGGTGTGCACACCCAGTGGGGCAGGGCTCCTTTGAGGAGCAGGGGTCCGTGCTAGGCAGTGGCCACTCTGGCTGGCTGCTGGAGCAGACCACAGGCTGGGAGGCCGGGGTGCGGGGGATGGCACCCCGTCAGCCCTGGGGCCGGCAGGGGTGGGTGTGGGATCTCCCCGCAGGCCTGGCACCTCAGCCAGCCCTCACTGCCCGGGCCCTTCCCAGCAGGGGGGTGGGGCCCCACGTCTTCAGGCCTGAGGTGGGGCTGACAGAGACGCAGGCAGGTGGGGGGCGGCCGTGCGGACCGGGCGTGCTGTGTGCGCAGGTGGGGCTCACCCTGCAGCATGGCGGAGGTGGTGTAGAAGTTGAAGGGCACCGCCTGCACCAGGTAGTCATCCGTGCCCAGGCTCTCCAGCTTGTCCCCCATCAGCACCGACTTGCCGGTGCCCGCGTTCCCTACCAGCATCACGGGCCAGGACTTGGCCATGAGCAGGTCAATGAAGTAGCGGATGCGGATGGTTTCTGTGGTGTGGACCAGGGAGGCCTGGGGGGCGGGCGGGAGGGGAGGGCACAGGTCGGCTTCCGTCTCCCTCACCTGTGCACATCTCAGAAGTCCGCTCCATGCTGGGCATTGGTGGGAGACCTGCTCAAGTCCTGGCCGTGGACGTTGCAGGCGGGGTGGGGGGAGGGGACACGCCCTGCTCCCCGGGCCACTGCCCGCGGGGCGTTACCTGCAGCGGGACGTCAGGGTCCAGCTCAAAGGCCGGCACCTTGTCTGTCCACGGCATGAATTTCTTTGTCTCAGGGTCAATGTAGTAGTCAAAGATGGTTCCTTGGGAAGGGAACTTGATGGTTTTGAACTCATTGATCCACCATCTGCTGAACTCCACCCGATAATCTATAAGCTGTTCAAAATCAAACACACAAAGGGACCAGCTAAGTGGGCCACCACCGAGGTCCCTGGTTTTGGGGGTACGGGGTGGGGGGGCGGGGTCCCCACGGGGCTTCACCTGGTCCTGGAACATGGCGCCCCCAAAGGACCAGAAGCAGGCAAACACGAAGTAGAGCTCATACAACTCCTTGGGCGAGTCGGGCGGGGCGATCTTCTCAGTGAGGAGGCACTCCAGCAGGTACAGGATCATCTGCGTGATGGTGATCTCAGGGATGGGTGTGATCCGCTTGAAGCCAAACCGCAGCTTGTCCAGGCACGTGGGCAGGTACTTGTCGAACAGGATGGTCAAGTTGGCCTTCTCAGACTGCACCTTGCGTCTCTCGATCCAGCTGCTCACCACCCTGGGGAGGTCCGGGCCGTGGCTGCTTCCGGTCCACATGCAGCCCCCTTCCTGCCACAGGAAGCGCCTCCCACCTCTCCTCCGTGGCCAGCCGTAGAGCCAGGGCTCCGCCCGGCTGCAGACCCTAACAGAGCCCAGTGAGGCTTCTGGGCAGTGGGGCCCGTGTGCTCTCTCTGAATTGGTAGCTCTGGGGGTGCCCTAAGCCTGGAACAACCGGGGACTTTCCTGCTGCCACCCTGGACGCATCAGCCCCTCTTCCCTCAACGAAGCTAGTGTGAAGCTCGGGGGGGGGGGCAGGGGATGAAGAGAGAGGAGAAAAGTCTCACGCCATCATCTGGGGTGGTGTAGAGAGAAGGAGGGGTAGGAAGGAAGGGTAAGGAGTGGGGATCAGGGCTACCCTATGACATCCAGCCCTGCCTGAAGCTCCCACCTAGCGACTTGTAAGTGTGTGTGTGCATGTGTGACTGGGAATATATCTCTGGCTGAGAGCACGTTTGCCATTTACAAAGCTCTGGTATCATAAGAAAAGACAATGAAATCAGTGAATTACAGACTGATGAAACAAAACCAAATTGTTGGTTCCTCAAGGTGATAAACACAATTGATAAACCCTTAGCTGATCTGACCACAAGGAGAAGATGGATTAACCAGATAAACAAAATCTGGGCTGAAAAAGAGATATGATAACAAAGACACACCAGGTCCTGAGCATTATGAAGGAACACTGAAAACCTTTATGCAAGCAAACCAGTAGACACACACAGACTTATTTCTATATGACCCACTTGATTCCCAGAAGAATTCAACAAAGACCTTTAAGGAAGACCAAACACTAACAATCCTTGAACTGCCCTAGAAATAGGAAGGAAGGATCACCACCAAACTCCCTGTATGGAGCCATCTTTAGATTCATCCCCAAACTAGACAGAAACACAACAACAAATGGGAACTATAGACCAATAGCTTTAACGCAGAACTTCATATATGCCAACTCAATAAGTATAATAATGGCACTTACACAGAATCAAGGATAAGTCACGTAATCATCTCCATAGATGCAGAGAAAGAAAGCCTTTGACACAATCCAGCAGCCTTGCTTATAATAAAGCTCTAGAGAAGCTAGGAACAGAAGCAACATACCTCAGGTTTATTCGTGGCAAACCTACAGTCAATAACATTTTAAATGGTAAAAAAAAAAACCCTGACAGTATTTCTTTTAAAATCAAGAATAAAGGCCAGGCAGCAGGTGGTTCACACCTGTAATCCAAACTACTCAGGAGGCTGAGATCTGCGGATCATCATTCAAAGCCAGCCCGGGCTGGACTCCTATGTCTAATTAACCACCAGAAAACTGGAAGTGGCAGTGTGGCTTAAAGTAGAAGAGCACTAGTCTTGAGCAAAAAGCTCAGGGACAGCACCCAGGCCCTGAGTTCAAGCCCCATGACCAACAACAACAACAAAAAATCAGGAGTAAGACAAGGATGCCTGTTCTCTCCCCTTCTATTCACTATAGTACTGGAATTCTTAGCCTGAGCAACAAGGCAAGAGAAAGACATAAAAGGAACCCACATAGGGAAGGAAAAAGTTAACCTATCCTTATTTGCAGATTATATGATCCTATATATACAGACTCCAAGGGCTTCACCCCCAAACTCCTACAGCTAACAAATATGTTTGGCAATGTAACCAGATATAAAATTAACACACAAGCCAGTGTCTGTGGCTCACGCCTGTAATCCTAGCTACTCAGGAGGCTGAGATCTGAGGATCGTGGTTCAGAGCCAGCCCAGGCAGGAAAGTCCGTGAGACTTTTATCCCCAATAAACCACTAGAAAACTGGAAGTGGCGCTGTGGCTCAAGTGGTAGAGTGCTCTCCTTGAGCTGAAGAGCTGATAGACAGTGCCCAAGCCCAGAGTTCAAGTCCCACAACTGACAAACACACAGACAGACAGACAGACAGACACACACACACACACACATACACACACACACCCATACACAAATCAGTATTTTCCTGTATACCCACAATGAGCAGATGGAGAAGGGAATTAGGAGAACAATTCCATTCATGGTCACCTAAAAAAGGAAAAATCTAGGAATAAACCTAATTAAGGACATGAGGGACTTCTACAATGAAAACTATAAAACTCTGAAGAAAGGAATGGAAGAAGACACGAGGAGGTGAAAAGACCTCCCGTATTTATGGAAAAGCAGAATTCCTGCCTGCTGTGAAAATGGCCATACTGCCAAAGGCAGTCGCAGATCCAGTGCAATGCCCGTCGTAATCCCAGTGTCATTCTTCATAGAGATGAGCAAACAATGCAAAAATTCATACAGAACCACACAAGGCCCCAAGAGGCCACACCAGCCTCCAGCAAACGAGACAAGCAATCCTGCAGTGATCACAATTCCAGAATTCAAACTTTACCACAGAGTCACACTAATGTAAACGGCTTGTACTGGCACAGAATCAGGCCCCCAAACCAATGGAACAGTCTAGAAGACCCAGGACCCCCCCCCCCAGCCATCTGATATTTGACAAAACAGCCAAAAGTATATGTTTGATAAAAGCCTCTTCAATATATGGTGGTAGACAAACTGAACGTCCGTATGCAGCAGACTGAAACCTGATCCTGGTCTCTTATCACTTACGTCTGTCAATTCCGAGGAGATCTAAGACCTCAAATTGAATCTGAAACCTTGAAACTTCCGCAGTAGGAGTAGAGGAAACATTAGAACTCATTCCTAGAGGCAAGGAACTTCCTGAGCAGAATTCCAGGGGCTTGGCAAATAGGGAGAATTAACAAATGGCACCGCATCTGCAAACAACACTAATATAGAGTTGGATATAGTGTCTAAGGTAAAAAGACAGCCTAAGAATGGGCGAAGGTCTTTTTTTTTTGTTGGTGGTGATGGGGCTTGAACTCTGGGCCTGGACGCTGCCCCTCAGCTCTTCAGCTCAAGGTGAGTGCCCTACCACTTGAGCCACAGCACCACTTCTGGCTTTTTCTGCTTCTGTGGTGTTGAGCAATCAAACCCAGGGCCTCATCCATGCAAGGCAAGCGCTCTACCACTAAGCCACATTCCCAGCCCTGGGAGAAGGTCTTTTACAGCTATATGTCTGACAAGGGTTCAATAACCAGAACATGTAAGAAACTCAAAAAATTGCCCCCCCCCAAAAAATCCCCAAGAACTCAACTAATAAGTGGGCAAAGGAGCTTAACAGTCATTCCTCTAAAGTACCTGTGACCAATAAACACATGAGGAAATACTTAACATCTCTGGTCATAAAAGAAATGGAAATCAAAGTGACACTGAGGTTTTATATCATCCCGCTGAGATTGGTCATCACCAAGACCACAACCAACAAAGGCTGGGGGTGGGGTGGGGTGGGGGGAGGGAGGAGGCACAGGGCGGGAGGGGCCCTCACACCCCGCTGGTGGGAATGTGAACAACTGCAGCCACCACGGAAGTCAGTACAGAGATTCCTCAAAAAGAACCTGGGGTTGGCCCAGGTGGTAGAGCACCAGCCCATATGTGAAAACAACTGTCAGAGAGTGAGTTCGAGTCCCCATCTTGGATAAAACCAACAAAAAACCAAACGTAGAGCTACCCTATGACCTAGTGGCGCCACTCCTGGGTCTTCGTTGGAAAGTCTGCAAGGCAGGTGCAACAAAGGTACCTGCACACCTGTGTTCACTGCTGCACAGTTCACAGTGGCCAGGTTATGGAGATAACCCAGATGCCCTACAATGCACAAATAGGGAAAAACATGTAATATACACGTGTGTGCGTACACATACAGGTAATTGCAGCCATCAGAAAGAATGAAATTGTGCCATTTGCAGGGAAATGGTGGGTGAGGAAAATACCAAACAGAGAGAAGGCAGGCCCAGAAGGACAAATGGTGCATTTTCTCTCACATGTGGATCTTGGATGCAAAATACAACTTTCCATATAATCACACACACACACACACACACACACACACACACACACACACACACACCTCTATGCGTGCGTATGAGAGCAAGTGGGAAAAAGTTCAGTATGTGCAGGCATGAAACTCCACAGGGTAAACTCAACAAAGAACAGTTTACAAAGGACTAGGGGTTAAGCCAGGCTGGGGGAAGGGAACTGGGGACCAACACAGTCAGGATGCTCGGTGTACACGCGTTATAAAGGAAGTCTGCGGGAGGAGGGGACTCGAGGGCCTCTGGTCAAGGGTCACTGGACATGCACACTCACAGTGAACTGTAACCCCTGGCATAATCATTTCAAGTTTAAGAATGTGCATTACCTGTCTTATGGTTAAGGAAAAAAATGATCATAAAATCATTTTAGTGTAATGGCAAAAGTAAAAAAGACGCAATCTACACACACACACACACACACACACACACACACACACACACACACACACAGAGGCTGTAGTCCCTTGAGGTGGCTGTCCTGTCTGTCTGAACAGTTGGCACTCTGGGGTGACCCTGCTTGTCCGGCAGCAGTGATGAGCGATGTGGGCACTGTGGCCGATCGCTGGGCCGGCCCAGGCCGGGCCAACCTGTGGCGGGGTCACTCAACAGGTGTGGGTGTGGGTTTCTGGCCTGCAAACAGGGGTCATGTTTACCCTGCCCCACAGCTGCTCCAAAGCACCCCATGCCGCTGTCCAGGGCCGGCAGAAGGGAGCCAGTGTCCCCCGAGCGCAACACGTGACTGTGGGGAGCCCTGGGCAGCGCGTCGGGATGCCGGCGTGGGCAGGACGCTCGCCCTGCCAAACCCAGTGTGGCTGCCACATGCAGCCCTGCACAGGCCTTCCCTGAGTGCCCTGTGTGCCCTGCAGGAGGCCTTCCCTGAGTGCCTTGTGTACCCGACCCCCCACTTCCTGTTCCTCCATTGCGGCAGGGGAGAATCCAGAGCTGGGGACACCACCTGCACAGCATCAATCCCACTCCCCGCCCCTTGCAACCTTGCAACCTCCAAGCAGAGGAGGGCTATGAGTGGGGTGGTGCGTGGGCCTGGGGTGCCAGCCCCAGCAGGGGCACAGCAGGGACACAGCAGGGGCTGCCTTGCCTCTTGGCTGGGGTTAGGTTGCATTTTGGGGGCAGCCAGGGAGAAGGTTCTATCCTGCAGGTGGGTGCACAGGCCCAGGCTGGCGCGCCTTCCCAACAGGCCCAGGCGCTTCCCGCTGGGCCCCCGAGGCCTGCGGGGGGCCCGTCAGCCTGGGCCGGCTTCCGGCTGGGTCCCAGGGCTGTCCCGGCCTCCCCGCAGGGAGGGTGGGCTGCTGCTCTGCTGGGGGGGGGCAGGTAGAAGTGACCCCAGACCCAGGGCCTCAGCTGCTGCTTCCCAGCCGCTGGCTCTCCTCCCTGCTCCCCGCTGTGCCCCTGTGCCCTTGGACCCCCAGCCCCCATCCTCATGCTGCAGGGCACGATGGCAGCCTCACCAGGGACACCTCCTCCTGGGACCTCAGGCCATGACCATGCATGGAGAAAAGGCTTCTGGGAGTAATCTGGTTAAGAATCTTGAGGTCGTCGGGACTAGGATGGGCCCTGAACTCAACATCTGCTGACCTCACACCCCGGCGAGGTCAGAGGTCAGTCTCTCCTGTCCTAGGGTCCCCCAGCTACCCCTCAGAGTTCTGTCAGTGCTGGCTCCTGTCCACCCTGAGTGCTCTCTCCTCTGCCCTGGTTTCAGTCCTCTGGGAAGGTCCTGTCCCCCACAGTGGTGGAGCCCTGGACCTTCCAGTGCTCGGCCGATGCCCACATCACCGTCTCCCGAGTCAGTGCGCACCTGCGTCACTTAGGAAGAGACATCTGTCTCCTCCCTCCACTGCCACTCAGGGACATGAACACACCGGTGTTCACTGTATGGCTGGGCAGATGGGAGGATGGATGGATGGATGGGTGGGCAGATGGATAGGACAGATGGATGGATATGCAACTCATATGGATAGAGGGAGAGATGTATAGGCAAGTCATTCACATGGATGGAAGATGGATGGGTGGACAGATGGATGGATGGATGGATGGATGGATGGACGGACGGACGGACGGACGGATGGATGGATGGATGAATGGAAGGATGGATGGGAGATAGACATACAACTCTGGTCTTGGTCAGCAGTCTCCCTTTCTCAGCCCATCTGGGAGGGGAAGCCCTGACCCTACTCACGGGTTCCAGCCCAGATCGGCTGGGTTGATGTAGAGGATGCCGGCTCTGGAGACGGTGGCAGGGGTGGCGGTCCGCAGGTGGCTGATCTCAAACACCAGCCTCATGGTGCGGTTCAGCGGGATCCGCTCGTTGCTGGCCAGGGTGAGGACCTGACGGGAGAAGCGGCAGGCAGGAGTGTCACAACGAAGAGCTGGGGAGGCCTGCACCGGCCCCGGAACCCGGTGAGTCCACACCGCGACACGCATGGGAGCTAGCGCCACGCCACAGGACGCACACGCCTTTCAAAACCACAGCCCCGGGGCTGGGAAGGTGGCTTGGCGTAGAGCACTGGCCTAGCATGCATGAAACCCTGGGCTCCATTCCTCAGTGCTTACACAGAAAAAGCCGGAAGTGGTGCTGTGGCTCAAGTGGTAGAGCCAAAGAAGCTGAGTTCAAGTCCCAGGACTGGCAAAACAAACAATCCAAAACCCACAGCCCTAAGCTGGGCACTGGTGGCTCACACCTATAATCCTAGCTACTCAGGAGACTGAGATCTGAGGATCACAGTTTGAAGCCAGCCAGCCCGGGCAGAAAAGTCCCAGTGAGACTCTTATCTCCAATTAGCCACTCAAAAACTGTAAGTGGCGCTGTGGCTCAAGTGGTAGAGTACTCGCCTTGAGCTGAAGAGCACAGGGACAGTGCCCAGGCCCAGAGTTCAAGCCCCACAACTGACCAAAAAAACAAAACCAAACCTGGAAGTGGTGCTGTGGCTCAAGTGGTAGAGTGCTAGCCTCGAGCAAGAGAGCTGAGGGACAGCGCCCAGGCCATGTATGAAAAAAAACAACCCACCAGGGGCTGGGAAGGTGGCTCAGTGGTAGAGCGCTTGCCTTGCATGCACAAGGCCCTGAGTTCAATTCCTCAGCACCACATAAGCAGAAAAAGCAGAAGTGGTGCTGTGGCTCCAGTGGTAGAGTACTAGCCTTGAGCTGAAGAGCTGAGGGACAGTGCCCAGGCCCCACGACCAAAAAATAAAAACAAAAAACCCCCAAACAAAAAAATTCCCCAAACAAAAAAACCCCCCAAACAAACCAAACACACACACACACACACACACACACACATTGCCCTCTATACTGTAAATTCTCATGTTCCCTCTTCTATCTAATTGACAATCTCTTCTTGTTTTCAGAAAGGGTCTCTTTACGTAACCCAGGCTGGCCTCTGCTGGCGATCCTCTTGCCTCAGCCTCCTGAGTGAGTGCTGGGGAAAATCACTTTCATAAGCTGCTTCTAGACAATTACAGAAATCGTAATTGTCACTCACCATCTCTCCCACACCGTGCTGCGGTGCTGCTGCCGGAATGTGCAGAGCTGCGTGCGGTGTGGATGCCGGCTCTAGGCACGTTGCTCTCCGTGGCTCCTAGCACTTTGCCCGGGCCTCCTGGGCTCTGCTGCCCCGTGTGCCCGCCAGCCCTCCCCGCCCCCCCTCGGCGGGGGCGAGCTGGGAGTCAGGAGCCACACACCTTGTTGTCATCCATGACGGTGTTGAGGGACTCGATCCACATGGGGTCGATGTCCCCGTCCAGCACGATCCACTTGGGCCCGTCGTGAGTGATGTTGGCCAGGTCCCGCATGATGGTGGAGAAGAGGCCTGCGGGGGGGACAGGGCTGGGGTCACACCCTGCCGAACCCCAGGGGCATTGTGGGGCAGCCACGCCTGCCTCGGGGCTGACGGGTGAACAGTCTCAGAGACAGCAGGTAGGGAGGAGGGAAGGGGGGCATCTCCCCCCACGCCCTGCCCACGGCGCAGCCCTCCCTGGGGTTGGGGGAGGGCTGAGGTGTGGGTGAGCCCCTCCACGGGCCACACCCAGCGCCCCCGCCCCCCGGCTCAGCCCATCGCCTCCCGAGTTTTCCTTCCAGGGCCCCGTGGCCTGGTGGCCTGAACCCCAAGCCCTCTGAGCGCCTGCTAGCCTCAGCTCCACCTTCGCCGTGGGACCCGTCCTTGCGCACCGTGTCCCCCACAGTAGGTGGCCACCCCACAGAGGGGCCCTGGCAGCGGCAGGGCGCCCCGGGCTGCTCTGTTACCATCTTTCCATTCCCTGGTGGCCGGGTTGATGATGCCAAAGAGCTCGTCGCAGGTGACGGCCTTGGGGTCCAGGTCGATGGCCACCGGCTTCCTCTTCATGTTCTGATAGGTTTTGTTCAGGGACTTGAGCACCTGGCGAGGGCAGAAGCGGCGGTGTGACCCCTCGGCCCTAAGCTGCCCGCACCGGCAGCCGCCTCCTGCCGGGCCCTGGACGTCTCTCTCTCTCTCTCTCTGGGCCACACGGGCAGAACTGCTTCTCTGGGCCCCGTTTGCCCCCATGGGTGTAGGGGCGTCTGTGCCCCAGATGATGTGCAAGTGGCTGGTGGCGGGAAGCTGGACTCTGACTGCTCACGTCCACCCACCCCCACGGAGCTCCTGAGGCTGGGGAGACACGGCCCGGCCCCTCCATGCAGCACAGGCGCCTGGCTTAGCTCCTTTTTTTGCATGTGTGTGCCAGTCCTGGGGCTTGAACTCAGGGCCGAGGGGCTGTCCCTGAGCTTCTTTTGCTCAAGGCTAGCACTCTACCACTCGAGCCATAGTGCCACTTCTAGCTTTTTCTGTGTATGTGGTACTGAGGAGTGGAATCCAGGGCTTCATGCATGCTAGGCAAGCACTCTACCAATAAGCCATCTTCCCAGCCCCAGCTCCTACTTTTTAAAGAAAACTTGGGAGCTGGGTACTGGTGGCTCACACCTGTCATCCTAGCTCCTCAGGAGGCTGAGATCTAAGGATCATGATTCAAAGCCAGCCCAGGTAGGAAAGTCCATGGGACTCTTATCTTCAATTAAACAACAAAAAGCTGGAAGTGGAGCCATGGCTGGTTTAAGTAGTAGAGCGCTAACTTTGAGCATAAAAGCTTGGAACAGCTCCCAGGCCCTGAGTTTACAGCCAGAATTGAACTCAGGGCCTCAAGCCCTCACTCTACTTTTTTTTTTTTTGCTCAATAATAGTGCTCCACTGTTTGAACCACATTTCTAGTTCTGGTTTTTTGCTGGTTAATTGGAAATACAAGTCTCACAAATGTATTTGCCTGGGCTGGCCAGGAACCAAGATCCTCAAGTCTCAGCCGTTGGCACTTGAGTTTGGGAACGATTTTTCACACTGGCATACTTGTCCACCCTCTGGGTACGTTTCACTTAAGTCTAGGCGGATTTAGAATCTCCAGAGCTACTAGGCATTAGTAATATAAGCCGCCACCCTCTACATGTCATCCAGAAACCGGATGGGGGGCCCTGGCTTGGGGAGAGGTGCTGGAGGGCTGACCCTTCACCCCTGACCTCCACGGTGGGGCTGGAAGCTCCGGGCCAGGGGCCTTGCCTGGGACTTGCCGCTGCCGGCATTTCCGATGACGAACACGGAGTGGCGGACCTGCAGCAGCTCCTCCAGCTGCACCACCTTCAGCACGAAGCTGTCCTCCGCCTGCAGCTTGAGCTCCACGATGCTCTGCTTGATGATCTGCCCGTGCCAGCACCGTCTGCTCCGGCCCTGGACACAGGCCGGCCCCACGCGGCCACCCAGGACCCCTCGATGCCCGGGGCCCCATCCAGCTGCGCACCCACCACCGAGGTTCCAGGGCGTGGCGGGGTGGGAGGGAGCCCCACGGGACGGGCTCCCCAGGACGGGTGGAGGCCGGGGCAACCGAGTTACCTTCTCAAAGTTCAGGTCTCGCTTGCGGGGCACGTCCAGCGCGGGGAAGAGGTCCCCGATCAGCCCCATGAACACGGGCAGGTCATCCGTCACGATCTTGGGGATGTTGAAGTCCCGCAGGGCCCGCATGAGCACCTGGTCCTCTGCCCGCGTGGGGTCCCCCCGTTTCAGGGAGCCGGCCACCACCAGTACCGACTTGATGGCCCGCAGGCCCCAGTCATAGTGATCCTGTGGAGGGATGGGGGTGAGTGCATCCCCCACACTGCCGGCTCACTCTGGCGTCGGCCAGGCAGGAGGGACACCGTGTGCGTGTGTGTGTGTGTGTGTGTGTGTGTGCGTGCGTGTGTGTGTGTGCGTGCGTGCGTGTGTGTGTGTGTGTGTGTGTGTGCGCACGCGCGCGCGCGCCAGGCTGGCCCCGGTCTGCCCCGCCCCGCCCCGGGCTGGCCCCTTAGGCTCCACACCTGCTTGGAGAGCAGCTCTTTGCATAAGGTGTAGAGTGTGATGAACTTCCGGGCCAGCAAGCGGGCCTCCAGGAAGCCCTCGGCCACCAGCATGATCTCACAGATGAGCTCGAAGTCAGGAACCACCATAGCGCAGGGTCTGAGGAGACAAGCGTGGGCATGCGTGCCTCCCTCCCCTCCCCTTCCACCCCGACTCCTTGCCCCACACACATAGCGGACCACTGGGCATCGCTTCACTTCACCGCACCCCCAGGGGTGCGGAGCTGGTTCCCAGCCCCAGCCAGCTCCTCGCACACCCTGGGCCCTGGCTCTGCTCCGCTCCCCTAGCTGGGGCCTCCTGCCTCAGGGAAGATGGAGATTTTTTTTTTTCTGATCATGCTGGAATTTGAACTCAGGTCCTTGCACTTGCTAGGCAGGTGCTCTACTGCAGAGCCAAACCTCTAGTCCTGATCTTTGCTATTCATGTATGTATTATTAACTTTTTGGTACCATTATTGAACTTAAGGCCTTGAGCTCTCATTTGGCTTTTTCACTCAAAGCTGGTGTTCTACCACTTGAGCTACACTTCCACCTCCAGCTTTTTGATGGTTAATTGGAGATAAGCCTTACAGCCTTTTTGCCTGGGCTGGCTTTGAACTGTGGTCCTTAGGGTCTTAGTCCCTTGAAAGCCAGATCTACAGGCATAAATCATCAGTGCCCAGCTTTTATTAATTATTATTATTATCATTACTTTGTTGGTCATGAGGCTTGAATTTAGAGCCTGGGCACTGTCTCTAAGATTTTCTGCTCCTGGATAGCAGTCTTGCACTTTGAGCCACAGCTCCACTTCCATTTTTCTGGTGGCTCCTTGGAGATAAATGTCTCATGCAGCTCAGGCTGGCTTCCACCTGTGATCCTCAGATCTCAGCCTCTGCAGTAGCTAGGATTACAGGTAGGAGCCACCAGCACCTGGCCTTGCTAGTTATTTTTGAAATAGGGTCTTGCTTCCCGCCTGGGCCTGCATCTGGGTACCATGTGCCTGTTAGGTTTCCTTTGTAGTGAAGACAACAGACACCTCTGCGCCCAGCTCTTATTTGAGAAGGAGTAGGGGCATCTCACAAACTTTTCTGCCCGGGCAGGCCTTGAACCACAATCCTTTCAATACCAGCCTCCCAAGTAGCTAGGATTGCACACCTGATCCACCCGGCCCCCGCTTGGCTGAGGCCTTCAGAGGCCAGGCCTCGCCCACCTTCTCCCCTGCCGCCTCCCCGCTCCCAGCCTGGCCTCTGCTCCTCCTCTGCTCAGCGCTGGGCTCTGGATGCAGCTGTGGCTGTGTCTTGGCTGAGAGGCGGAGGCCGCTCACCTGAACAGGGCCTTCAGGTTCTCCGGCAGCTCCGTGCGGCCGGCGTAGCCAGGGTTCATAGTGATGAAGATGCCCACGCTGGGAATGAGGCTGATCATCTCCCCCAGGAAGTTGAAAGTCTTTTTCTTGGCCCGAATGGCATCTTGGACACATTTTACCTAGATGGCCAGTACATGGGCATCAACACAGAGATGCGCGGCTTTGGAAGCCGGTGGTAGCCGGGTTGGCCTGCCCCACGGCGTTCCCTCCCCCTGCCCCCCGCACCGCCTAGCCTCATTCTGCACGTCTCATTCTGCTTGCTGTGTGACAAGAGCGGACCTTAGAGTATGTGCCCTGAGGTGGCTATCTGTCTGCAGGGCCTTGGCCGTGTGTGCAGGCCCACTGGCCCTCGTCATTTCCCAGCGGCATCCCTCCCCCCCTCCCTTGGGAGGCCGGCAATAGCTGTCACTCTCTCTGGGAATTATTGTCCAGAGTGTCTGAGCTCACCAGGTCACCTCTAGAACTCAGGTTTTTACAGAAAGCTGCAGAAGGCGGCTGCAAGTCTCCACATCACCACTGGAGGGCACCTGGAACTCATGGTTGAGGCCCTTCCCCCCCCCTCCATGCCCAAGTCACCTGACCCAGTGGAGCCCCTGCTCAGTCACCTGACCCTGCTTCCCCGAGTGGAGCTCCCCCCCTCCTGATTTCATAGGCCTCTCCTGTGGTGGATGCTGGCCGGGTCATACCAGGCACAGCACCCGCTGCCCCCCGTTCAGCCTCAAGGCCTCGGGGCCCCAAACTGGCTCCATGGGAACATTCTGGGGGTGGGGCCCTCATCTGGAGGTGGGGTCCCCCTCCCCGCTGGCCCCCAGGCTCTGGAGCAGCTGGCTGCCTCTGCTCCAGGCCCGCCAGTGAGCAGGGCAGGGTGGGGCAGGAGGGCTCCCAGTGACCGGTCCAGGTGGCCCTTACCACCGCACCCCCGCACCCCCACTTCCTTTTCATTCTGCACCTGCTAAGAGGCCAACTCCTCACGGGGCCTTGGCACCCAGAGCTCACCACCAGACTGGGGTACCTGTTTGAGGTATTTGGCTTATTGGGACCGTCAGAGTTAGTTGGGCCTCTAGCCTCAGATGCTAGTAAAAGAATCTCAGAGTTGATCCTGGGACTGGAGGCTGGCCTCAGTTTAGCCCAGAGAACCTGGTGTTGCCCAGGCACCAGGCTCATCTGAAGATTTGTTAACAACGCCTCCACGTGCATCCGCCCGTGGTGTGTACGTGGGGCTCGCACGGAGCGCTTTTAACAACGGTCCAGGAAGGGGACTTGTCCCACGGCTGCACCTAGGATCCTGCTCCCGCCCTGCTTAGACTCCCCAGCTGCGGGGGCGCCCCCAGAACACAAAGCCACGTTTCCTTCCTGTTCTTCCTTCCCTGCAGTTCTCTGTCCACATTCTTAGCTAATCGAGAAACTCCTGTGCATTGGTTAATGACCAACTCCTCCGACCCCTGTTCTAGAGGCCTCCGTCCTCTCCCGGGTAAATGGAACAGTTTGGCCCAAAGCTGCAGCTATACTTGTTTTCGGTTTGGCTTTGAGCCTTTCACTGTAGAGACCCATGGTGAACCGACATAACTCGATGGGCAAATGCAGTGTAACTCCTCTTGAAAAGCAGCCCAGCCTCAGCCAGTCACCAGCGGCCAACTGTGGGACCTGAGCTCAATAACACAGCCTCCAGCCGGGCTTTGGTGGCTGACGCCTGTCATCCTAGCTACTCAGGAGGCTGAGATCTGAGGATCATGGTTCAAAGCCAGCCCGGGCAGGAAAATCCATGAGACTCTTATCTCCAATTAACTACCAGGAAACCAGAAGTGGCGCTGTGGCTCAAGTGGTAGAGCGCCCGCCTTGAACTGAAGAGCTGAGGGACAGCCCAGGCCCAGGGTTCAAGCCCCATGACTGACAACAAATAAATAATTAATTAACACAGCCGCCACCAGTTGTAACCCCGCTTTCACTTCCCCATCCCCAGGGCCGCTGCCGTTCCTCCGGGTACAGAGGCAGGCTGCTTCTTCCTGTGCATTCTGCCCCTGCAGCATTCTGGGCCATTTTTCATGTAGTCTGCTGCGCAATCCGCACATCACGAGCAGAGCTGATTAAGATCTGTGGAACTAGACTGGGTGCCATTTTCTCTTTGAATGCCCCAGATACAACTAGTCCTGGTCTAGCCTGGCTTCCTCAGTGCTGCCCTGTCTGGTCCTTCCCATCTCCGCCTCGGGATGTAAGGAGAAGAGCAGAGAGGAGCCCGGGGCAGCTCTGCTCTGTGTCATTGTCCCCTGGGTGCCCCAGCTGGGGACAGGGGAAGCTTTGCTCTCTGGTGTCCAGAGATGGTGGGCGGGGCACCTACCTGGACAGCAATCACAGACAGGACTTCCACGGAGATGCGGTTGAACTCATCAAAGCAGCCCCAGGCTCCGGTCTGGGCCAGGCCCTTGTAGATGTTTCCGCAGGACTGGGCAGCGCGAGATGGGGAGAGGGCATCAGAGGTGGGGGGGGGCGGGCAGGCCTGGCGCCGCAGCAGGGATCTGTGGCAAGTGTCAGCTGGGTCCCGGCAGGGGGTCCCGTGGCAGAGGCCGGGTGCTGGGCATGCGCTTCCTCCCGTCTCCATCCCGGATGCTCCGCCTGGGCTTCAGTTTATACAAATGCTGCCCTCTGATTTTTCCTTCGCTCTTCTACCTGGCCCGGGCAGCCCCAGAGCCGCGGAGCGCCCCCCCCGCGCCCCCCCCCCGGCCCAGGAGAGGGCGGCCCCCGCCGTGACTGCTCTCGCTTCCCCTTGCACGGGAGACGCTGTGGCCGAGCACCCAGGCCACCCGGTCTGCGTGGGCCTCCGGGCCTTGGCGTGGCCCTCAGCTCCCGGGGTGGGAACCACACAGCTGGAGGGCGGGGAGCTAGTAACCCAGGAGAGGGGTGCCCCCTCGCACTTTGTGGTCCCCGGCGCTCGGAGATCAGGCCGTGGCCCCGTGAGTACCTTGTAGTCCATCTGCTCTGAGCAGTTAAAGACGTACACCATGGTGCCCAGCGCCCGGCCCAGGTCCTTGGTGGTCTCCGTCTTGCCCGTGCCGGCCGGGCCCGCCGGGGCGCCACCCATGATCAGATGCAGGGACTGGGTCAGCGTGATGTAGCACCTGCCAAGGGCCTGGGGTCACCTGTGCTCTCACAGGTGGACTGGACCGAGGGACAAACACTGTCTGGGGGCCCGCCTGGGAAGGGGAGCACCGCTGATATATAAGATAATCCATTCCACTCGTAGCCCACATGTGGGAGCGCCGGACACACAGCCGGTGCCGGAGAGGCCAGCCTCCGCGGCTGAGCCTCCCAGCTGACCCGGGGAGGTGGGACGGGGCGGGGTGGGCCAGGCACCTGTCTGTGAGGGGCGTGATCACCAGCCGGGGCGTGTTGCCCAGGTACTCGTACGAGTACTGGATCTGCGCGTCGCAGATGTTGGCGAAGCAGTGCCTCTTGTCTTCGTCCCAGCGGTGGCGCAGCTGCGACTGCCAGGTGAAGGCCTGGGAACTCTCCACCTGCGGGCAGCGGCAGCGCGGGAGCCTCAGCGCGGCCTCCCTTCCCAGCAACCCCTCCCACGCCTCCCGCGGCGGCCGCGCTCCCTGCCCTGCGCGGCTCTGCTGCTGCTGCGCGTGGCTCCGTGGGGGGGTGCGCCCCGGCCCCCCGGGTCCCGTCCCATCCCAGCCCGTGCCTTGGCAGTGATCATCTTGGCCACCACGTCCCGGGCGTGCACGTCGATGGTGCAGATGGTCATGATCTTCATCCTGTCGCCCGCACTCAGGTTGCCGATGAGCAGGGTGATGAGCGCGTTCAGCTGGCTGATCTGTGGGAGGGGGGCACACTGACACCCCGCCACCGAGACCCTGCCACGGAGACCCCAGCCACAGAGCCCCCTGCCATGAAGGGGTGTCACAGAGACCCAGCCACGGAGACCCCACCACGGAGACCCTCATCACAGAGACCCCACCACAGACACCCCTGCCACAGAGGGACCCCACAGACACCCCCACCACGGAGACCCCACAGACACCCCCACCCCCGAGACCCCACAGAGATCCCGCCATGGAGTTCCTGCCACAGGGACGCCACGGAGGGACTCCCGCACTGACACTGCTGCAGAGGGATGCCAGCACCCCCCCACACACACTTCCTGCCGTGACTAGGGTAGTTACCGGGCTGGCTCTGAGTCCCGGGGGAAATCAGACTGCCTGGCTCTGTTTACAATGAGGAAAGGAGATGTCCACGCACGCAAACAGACTACAGTCTGCATAAGGAAACCTTAGCAGTCATCACTGTGAGCAACTTCTTCTTCTTTCATCTTAAGAAATTATGTGTGTATGTGTACGTGCATGCACACACACGGGCGCGTGTGTCAGTCCTGGGGTTTGAACTCATAGCCTGAGTGCTGCTCCTTAGCTTTGCTCTGCTCAAAGCTGGTGCTCTATCACTTGAGTCAAAGCTCCATTTTTTTTTCAAACTACTTAATTGTAGATGAGAGTCTCATGGACTTTCCTGGCCAGGCTGGCTTTGAGCCTGGCTCCTCGGATCTCAGCCTCCTGAGCAGCTGGGATGACAGGTGTCAGCGGCTTTTGACCATGGTGGTCTTGGGCTCCCAGGGCCCACACACCTGTTTTTTGTTGTAGTCCTTGATAGAGTTTTCATAGCCTTCCTCCAGCCGTGCGAACGCCAGGCCCACCTCGGTCGTCCACCAGATCTGGGTGCAGGTGAGGGCGATCTGAAGACACACCCACACGGCCAGGCCCACGCGTCACTGCCGGGAGCACCAGCTCGTGCCAGCTGCTTGGCGATGTCCCGGTGGGCCAGCGACGGCTCGGGGGCTCAGCGCCAGCCACAAAGCCCCGGGATGCCTGGACACCAACCACCCCCCGGGCCGCCCCGAAGCTGGACCTGGGCAGGGTAGTCGAAGATCCACTGCTCCCTGGGCTTCTCCTCATAGGTGACCACGGCTTCGGGGATCAGGTGGCGCAGCGTGGCACACATGCGGTCCAGCACGCGGTTCAGCCACACCTCCACCTGGAGGAGGGAATGGAGGCCGCGCTGACTGCCAGGCTACAGGTATACCTACTAAGAGTGGTTTGTTGTAAAGATATATATATATATATATATATATATATATATATATATATATATATATATATATGCTTGTTCCAGGCATTGCCATTCCTGGGGAGAGGGTGGAAATGCAGAGGTGTTGCAGAAAAGTAAAAACAGGGCTGGAGCTCAGTGGCACTGGGCAAACCTTTTTGTATCTATTGCTTTTTTTTTTTTTTGCAGCATTGAGAGTTGAACTCGGAACCTCGTGCTTGCTAGGCACACACTCTTCCACTTGAGCTACATACCAGCCCCCAAACCTCTGGATGGGCGCTCACTTACGTCTCTGGGAGGGGAGGGGAGGGCAGGGCCAGAGAGCTGACAGCTGACAGCCGGGCAGGCAGGCCAGGAGCGGTGGGCGGCGACGGTGGCGGCTGAGGTTTTGTTGCTGTGCACCTGTCACCTCGAAGGCTTGGCAGGTGCTCATGCCTGGCCAGCAAGGGGCATCAGGACTGGCACGCGGGGACTGGACACTGCTGCCACACCACTGAATGTGTGTGTGTGTGTGTGCGTGTGTGTGTGTGTGTGTGTGCGTGTGTGTGTGTGTGTGTGTGCCTGCAGTGGGGCTTGAACTCAGGGTCTCGTTCTGCTTTGTTTTTTTGCTCGTGTCTGGCTCTCCACCTCTTGAGCCACAGCTACAGTTCTGGCTTTTTTGGTGATTAACTGTCTCCCTGGCTTTCCTCCCTGGACTGGCTTTGAACTTTGATCCTCAAATCTCAGCCTCCTGACCCAGCTTTTCGTGTGTGTGTGTGTGTGTGTGTGTGTGTCCGTTGTGGGACTTGAATTGTGGGCCTGGGCACTGTCCCTCAGCTCTTCAGCTCAAGGCAAGCGCACTATCCCTTGAGCCACAGCGCCACTTTCCAGTTTTCTGGTAGTTAATTGACGATAAGAGTCTCACAGACTTTCCTTTCCAGGCTGGCTTTGAGCCGAGATCCTCAGATCTCAGCCTCCTGAGTAGCTAGGATTATAGGCATGAGCCACAGGCGCCCAGCGACCCTTGGCTTTTCTTCTTCTTCTTTTTTTTTTTGGTCAGTCATGGGGCTTGAACTCTGGGCCTGAGCGCTGTCCCTCAGCTCTTCAGCTCAAGGTTAGCGCTCTACCACTTGAGCTACAGTACCACTTCCCATTCTCTGGTGGTTTATTGGTAATAAGAGTTTCATGGACTTTCCTGCCTGGGCTGGCTTTGAACTGGGATCCTCAGATCTCAGCCTCCTGAGTAGCTAGGATTACAGGCCTGAGCCACCAGCGTCGGGCTTGGCCCTTGGCTTTTCTTACAGGAGATTTTTCTCCCCCGTCTGACTGACCTCCACTACTGCCTGATCAATATTTGGGCAAGCAAGAAGTCTGAGGAGAGATGGACACTGGCTGGGGGCTGGGGGCTGAGCGCGCATGGTCTAAGGGCGGGCGGGGTGCTGCCCTCCTCCTGGCTCTGCCCGAGGCCATGCATGGGCTTACCTGCCCCGAGAGGTCGCAGTCCTGGTCAAACTCCACGTACTCGTCCTCCTTGCTGTACATTCCCACGCCGAACTTGAGGGGCTTCTCATCAGCATCGAGCTGGAACTTGAGCTTACACAGGCTGTCAAAGAGCTTGGACAGGTGGCGGCTCACCTGGGGAGGGCGGGGGAATCACGGGGAGGGAGGCTGTGGCAGGGGAATACGTGGTCCAGGCTTCCCCTGGGCAGCTCTGACCTCCCTCCCTCCCCCTCTCCCCCTCCCTCCCAGATTTTTTGTTGTTGTTGAACTCTGGGCCTGGGCGCTGTTCCTCAGCTCTTCAGCTCAAGGTGAGCGCTCTACCGCTTGAGCCACAGTGCCACTTCTGGTTTTCTGGTGGCTTATTAGAGCTAAGAGTCTCTCAGACTTTCCTGCCTGGGCTGGCTTTGAACCTGGATCCTCAGATCTCAGCCTCCTGAGTAGCTAGGATTACAGGTGTGAGCCACTGGCGGCCGGCCCTCCCATATTTTTGTGTGCTGATATTGAGGTTTGAACCCAGGTCCCAGGCACTGTCCCTTAATGTTTTCACTCAAGGCTGGCACTCTACCACTTTGAGCCACAGCTCCACTTCTGTTTTTTTTTTGTTGTTGTTGTTTTGAATGGTTATTTGGAGATAAGAATCTCATGGGGACTTTCCTGTCCAGACTGGCTTCAAACTGTGATCCTCAGATCTCAGCCTCCTGACTAGCTAGGATTATAGGCATGAGTTACTGGTGCCCCACTACATGCATCTTTTTTGTTGTTGTTGGTGTGGGGCTTGAACCCTGGGCCTGGGCACTGTCCCTCAGCTCTTCAGCTCAAGGCGAGTGCTCTATCACTTGAGCCACAGCACCACGTCCAGTGTTCTGGTGATTAATTGGAGATAAGAGTCTCACGCACTTTTCTGCCCAGGCTGGCTTTGAACTATGACCCTCAGATCTCAGCCTCCCGAGTAGCTAGGATTACAGGTACGAGCCACCGGAGCCTGGCTGCTTGCATCTTTTATAAACAGCATTCTGTGCAGCCACGGCTCCTTAGCTGTTCCCGTAAGGGTTTGATTTGCAAGGTGCAGAGTGAGATTTGCACCAAGACCCATCGAAGCCTCCTCCTCCAGCCCAGAACTCGCCAGGCACAGGGGCCGGGAACCTGGAGCTCAGGGTATAGCCCTGGCTTGTCCTTCAGAATGCCAGCATCCTGCCTACCTCTACGGGGTCATTTCCATTGGACAGGATGTCCAGTAGGTCGGCAGAGGAGACAAAATAGAACCGTGGGAAAGCCAGTCTTTTGGTCTCTAAGTATTCCGCCAAAGCCTTTTCGCACATGGCCAAGCTGGAAAGAAGGAAGGAGGGAAAGAGGCTGGTGAGTCCTGCCCGCAGGGTCTTGGTCAGCCTGTCCTCCAGGCACCCTGGGTGAGTCCTCCCATTTCTTTGCAAGCCCCATCAGGAGGACACTGTGGGTGGGAGGTGCCTTGTTTAATTCCTGCCATCTCCGCTCATGACCAGCAGGGGCGCATGACCCTGGCTCCTGCCACCCTGGATTTGGGTGGGGACCAACCTCTTCTTCAGGGATTCCAGTGTATCATAGAGACCCGGTTTGTTGGTGGCCTCCACCACGTTGGGTGTCTTTACTGCGTCTTCCATCAAGGCCTAGAAGGAGAAAGAGGTCCCTGGGTGTTAGGGGCCCTCCGTTTCTCCTCTTCAGCCATTTCTGGAGATGCCCTGGGACCAGTGGGCTGGGCTCACCTTGAATTCCTTGTCGATGGAGTCAAAGCGCTGGGAATCCTCCGGGAGCTGGGAGCGGATGTCTTCGGAGCCAATGAAGATGCTCTCCAGGTGGCTCCAGGTCCTCTGGACCTCAAACCAGATGGAGATGACCGAGTCTGCGGTGGACAGCTTCTGCTGCCAGCTCGTCACCTCCTTGAGGAAGTGGGACAGGTATTTGGACATCATCAGGTTCTGTAGCTGCACCTGGTTGTCTTCCAGGGTCTCCACCAGCACCTCGTCGGACTTGAGCATCATGGTGCCTGTTCTTGGATGCAGCTCATGCTCAAACTCCATGGTAGTCCAGGTGCTGTCCAGGGCCTTCAGCACCTTTCCGCAGGACACAGAAATAAGGACCATTGAGATATCTGGTGACGGAGCTAAGCGGGAAGTCAAAGGTCCTGAGACATGAGCCAAAATGCTCAGGCTACCATCAGCTGCCGTAGCTGGGGGTAATCTAGATGTTGATCCTCTGACCAGTAGACAGACACCATGGCAAGCCAGACATCTGTCCCATCCTCTGATTGGACAGCTGCCATGGCAAGCCACAGCCCCATCCTATTCACTGATTGGACAGACACCTGGTAATCCAGAGACTCTTTCACTGATTGGACAGACACCCTGGTAACCCAGACACCCATCCCACCCTCTGATTGGACAGATGCCATGGCAATCCAGATGCCCATCAACTGATGGGACAGAAACCATGGTAACCAATCCTCAACCAAGGGACAGACGCCAGGTCAAGCTGGACACCCATCCACCGATTGGACAGACACCACAGCAATCCAGATGCCCTTCCACTGATTGGATAGAAACCTTGCAACTCAGCAGCCCTGTCCCTGATGATCAGGTAGATGCCACGTGGTCCACCCCACAGTGGAGTTTCTCCGTCTCAGAAGGAGTTCTGCCACAGGCTACTCTGGAGACTGAGACGTTAGGCTCAACGAAGGAAGCCTGATACCAAAGGCCATACACTGTGCGTGAGGATGGGAAGTTGCTCTCTCCGGCACACTGACTGTTTTCAGTTAAAGACACTTGAAAAGTGGCAAGGTCAGGCCCACCTTCATCTGTTTCTTTCTTACTTTTAGTGATAGTTCCGGGGCTTGAACTCAGGGCCCGGTTCTCCACCACTTGAATCACACCTTGCCTGGGCTAGCTTTAAACCATGATCCCAGGATCTCAGCCTCTTGAATAGTGAGGATTCCAGGTGTGAGCCACTGGGCCCAACCCTTCATCCTGTTTCATCAAGCGGGAGGTGAGTTTCCAGGTGAAGGGCACCTCCCTGGACTGGAAAGGAGCAGACATTCTCATCCTTGGGCCTCCAGGGAGACACAATGGCCAGGAATTGGATTTTTAAGAGAAAATAAATTCTACAAGTGTTTTTTTCCCCTCTTGGATTTCTTTGTTGCTGTTGTTGTTTTTGTTGGTCTTGGGGCCTGAACTCTGGGCCTGGGCACTGTCCCTGCGCTTCTTTTGCTCAATGCTAGCGCTCTACCACTTGAGCCACAGAACCACTTCTGGCTTTTTCTGCTTATGTGGTGTTGAGGAATGGAACCCAGGGCCTCATGCATGCAAGGCAAGTGCTCTACCACTGAGCCACCTTCCCAGCCCTCCTCTTGGATCTCTGACTGCACTGGGCCGGAGAAGGCTGCTCAGCTTTCCTTGTGTGTTGAAGGCTGGGGAGCTCTCGGTGAGGTGAGGCCCCTGGTGGTCCCCTCAGCCCCTGGGCGAGCCCCAGGGTCCTCCCCCACCCCTCCCCGGGAGAGGGGGGCTCCCCGAGGACTCACCTTCTCCATCCCGGACTCCTTCACAGCCTTGTCCACGATGTTGCGGACCTCGTCCTCGTACTTGTGCAGGTTCAGCTGCAGCAGGTCCGCCAGGGTGGTCTGCTCTGACATCTCGAACTTCACCTGCAGACAGCGGGCAGCGCCAGTGAGGGGGGCCGCCCAGCACAGTGTGCGGGCTGCTGCCCTCCATCGCCAGGCGGGGCTGGGGAGCTGGGGCCGCTGAGAGGCGCTGGGGGGGCGGGGGAGGCTTTCTCCTGCAACTCAGAGACCCCAGTTACTGCTCCAAGCGTCCCCTCCCTTCCCTTTGAAACCAGGCCCCAGCAGAACTCAGCTGTGGCGGGGCACAAAGTGTCTCCCCAGATCCGTGCCCATGGGGACCTCAGGGTGCGACCTCATATGGAAATAGGGTCTTTCTGGATAATAAAGCTCTTGGGTGAACAGCCCAGCACTGGTGGCTCCCAACTGTAATCCTATCTGCTCAGGGGGCTGAGATCTGAGGGTCAGGGTTCAAAGGCAGCCAGGTAGAAAATTCATGAGATTTTTATCTCCAATTAACTAGCAAGAAGTCAGAAGTGGAGTTGTGATAGAGTGCCAGCCTTGAGCAACAGTGCCTAGGTCCCGAGTTCAAGACCTGGAACTGGCGCGCGCGCGCACACACACGCGCGCGCGCTCTTGGGTTGAGCCAGACATAGTGATTCATGACACTAACACTCCAGCACTAGGAGGCCGAGGAGGAGGGATTGTGAATTCAGGCCAACCTGAGCTCATAGCAAGACCTCGTTTTTACAACCAAAAAACCAACAACACAATTACATAAAGATCCTGGGAGGAGATTATGCTGGATTCTCCACGTGGACCCTAAGTCTGATGAGGGGTGGTCTTACGGAGGAGGAGGGGAGTCAGGGCGGCTAAATGGGGATGGAGGAACGTGGCCACAAACCAGTGGCTGGCGCGGCAGGAAGCAGGGGCCCCTCCAGCCTCTGCAGGCAGTACAGCCCCCCTGCTTGAGTTCAGGCTTGCAGCCTGGGCCAGTACCTACTTCTTGGAGATGTCCTTGGAAATTTTGGGGTGCTAGGATTCTAGACATGGGTTCTGTGGTGTATGGGGACCCCAGGACAATGTCCTAAGTCTGTGAACATTCAGCCCTCAAGCAGGACTGGCTAGTGTAATTTGCAGAGCCCTGTTTGAAAAAGTACTGAGTCCCAGCTGGGCGTGGCGGTGCATGATTCTAATCCCAGCTACCCAGGAGACAGAGGTAGGAAGACTGTGAGCCTAAGACTGACCTGGGCAAAACACGATCCCAATCAAGCAAGCAAGCAAGCAAAAAAGGAAAGGGCTGGGGGGGTGTATCTCAAATGTGGCTCAAGAAGAGCCCTTGCCTGGCATGCATGTTGCCCAGGATTCAATTCTACTAAAAAACAAAAGCACAAACAAAACTGTGCCCTGGGCCCCTGTCTGTTTTATCAGCATCGCATGCTGGGCGCTGGGCACTGGGCGCTGGGCAGACCAGCCCATCCAGGGGCCTCCTGCCCCTGGGGTGGGCGGGGCCAGGCTGGAGGGGCGGGGCTGGTGGAGGGGGCGGGGCCGTACCTGGGTGGCCTGCATGAGCTGCTGCCAGTGGCGGTCGCGGATGGCCGGGTTCTGCAGCTCGCTCACCGCGCGCAGGGACGTGATCATGTTCTTCACGGTGTTGTCCAGGCCCACAAAGGCGTCCCACGTCTTCATCTCCTTGTCCAGAGACCGCACGTCCTTGGCGAACTTCTTGCAGTCTATGTCCATCTGCTCCACGTTGATGTCCTTCCACTTGGTGGTTTTCCAGTCGTCGATGCTCGTGTTGACCTGCAGCGGGGGCATCTGGTTACCCCCAGGCCCCGCCAGGAGACGGCCCCGCCCCCGGGCATGGCTTTCCCTGGACTCAGAATACTTCATAAGAGAAGTCAGGAAAGTAGTTGGGTACAAGGAACAGTAAATGGACACTGGTCATGAATGCTGCCATTTAAAATGTAGCAGTGAAGAAGACAGTGATGGTGGGCATTCCTGCGATCCCTACTTGGGAGGCTGAGATCAGGAGGGTAGTGGCTCAAGGCCACCAAAAAGTTAGTGAGACACCTCCCCTACCACATTTCAACTAACAAGCCAGATGGGGTGGGATACCCTTGTAATCCCAGCTAAAGGCTAGATAGGTAGAAGGGTCAAAATCTGAGGCTGGTCTGGTTGAAAAGCATGACTCTACTTGAAAAATAAGGACAGCAAGAAGCGGCCGGGAGCATGGCCTGCGTGGTAGTGACTGCCTAGGAAGTAAGAGGCTTAGGGTTCATTTCTTTCCTTTGTTGGTCGTGGGGCCTGAACTCTGGGCCTGGGCGCTGTCCCTCAGCTCTTCAGCTCAAGGCTGGCGCTCTACCACTTGAGCCACAGTGCCACTTTCGGCTTTTTCTGTGTATGTGGTGCCGAGGAATGGAATCCAGGGCTTCATGCATGCAAGGCAACCTTCCCAGCCCCAAAACATATATATTTAAAGAGAGGTAAGATGTGAGACAATAAACCGAACGCCAGTGGCTCACGCCTGTGAGTCTAGCTACTCAGGGGGCTGAGATGTGAGGACCACATTCAAAGTCAGCCCAGGCAGGAAAGTCCATGAGACTCTTATCACCAGTTAAGCAGCAAAAAAGCTACAAGTGGTGCTGTGGCTCAAGTGGTAGAGTGCCAGCCTGAACAAAAAAGTTCAGGGACAGCGCCAGGCACGTGCGCATGCGTGCACACATGCACACACACGCATGTGTACACACACACACACACACACACACACACACACACGAGACAGTACAAGGAAGAAAAGGAAATGAGGAAGAGAGGAAAGAGACAGGAGGCCGTGAATAGGAGACCCGCCAATGTCCTGCACAGATAAGAGGTAAGCAGAGATGTGGGAGGGGAGCAACCCCAGCTCAGGGTCCTCTGGGTGCCCCCCCACAGGTGGTTACAGCTCCTCTTGGAGCCCAGCCCCATGGGAGCCCCCTTCTTTCCCTCCCCCTCCCCCTCCCCCCACTCCCCTCACCAGGACGATCATGTCCCAGAGCTCCTTCAGCAGGCGGACCTCCTTGTGGCAGGCCTTGAGCTGCTTGTAGTCTGGGACCGTGACCTCAAACAGGCTCCCAGACTTGCACAGGGCCTCCATGATGGCCTCCATGGCCGTGATGCTCTTCTGTTGCTGGAGCAGGAAACACCAACCGCTGGCCTTCCCCAGCCCTGTGCCCCGGCCCCGTCACCCGCCCTGCTCCCAACTGCTCAGCCCTCCGGCCTCCACCATGCCCTCTGCCCATCCAGCCCCCCGTGCCCACCCACTGCCCCACGCACCAAGGAGGCCCATGCTCCAGGGAAGACTCAGCCTGGGCCGCCCATGCTCTGCCAGGGGCATTGCCTGGCGCCCATCCAGGGCCAGGGGCATGGGGCCCACGTCTCTGGGTTCCTAAGGGGAGCAGCTGGAGAAAGTACAGGCCAGCGGCAGGCCCGCAGCAGGCCTGCCAGTGCCTGAGTCCCTCACCACGTACCTTGTTCAGGGACTTGTAGGGCTCGGTGCTGCTGAAGAGGAATGGAGCTTCTTGTCTGAACTTCTCCCTGAACTCGTGCTGCTTGAGCTATGAGAACAACAATGGCAGAGACGTGGCTGCCCCCGGGGCCACGCCAGAGAGCCCCCCATGTGAGCCCTCCGCCTCCTGCCCGCGCCCACCCCCCGCTGCCCAGCCGCTGCCCAGCCGCTGGCCGCCCAGCCTCTGTACCTCAAAGTGCTGGCACTTGCGTCTCAGGATGTTCACCTCGTTGGCCTGGAGGGGGGCCACGTTCTGCTTCACCTGGATTGCCAGCTTCTTGGTGTTGGTCCACTGCTCCGGCAGCTCCTACCGAATGCAAAGGCCGTGTCTCTTCTCCACAGATGCACGGGAAATAGCAACAATAGCACCAAGTCCCCACGCCCGCCCTCCCTGTGACCCCCCCCACGTGAGAACCAGGAAGAGGCTCGGCACCCTCACTTCTTGTCAAGTTTCGGAAGCCAAATCCGCTTTTGTGTGCACATGGGTGTGCATGTGTGAGTACGCATGCGTGTTTGGGCGCACCTATGTACACACATGCTCGCCTTGGTCATGTGTGACTTTCTTTGCAAGCCTGCGTGTACATATGCAGGAGACTTGCATGTGTGCTTAGGTGTGCACAGGCGTACGTATTATTTTGTGAGTGTGTACCTGTGCCTGGGCCAGAGAACACTTTTCAGGCACTCATGTGAGTACATGCATGTGACCCATACACATTTGTGCATACACACTGTGTGCATGTACACACATGTGCACATACGCTCACACAGGTATGTCTTTATACACATGCATCTATGTGTGCATGTGAATGTGTGAGCATGCATTTCTGTTTGTGTATACGTCCTATTTCGGCAAGTGTGTACATGTGCCTATGTGATCACACTTGTGTGCATCTTGGTGTGAGTGTGTGAGGTGTATGTGTGTCCATCCACCCCCAGAATGGACCTTCCATCCTTCCCCTCCCCCCCGCGCCCCTTTCTACAATGGTTCTCACAGTCACACACATTTCTGCATTTTCGCAAGTTTTTCACACTTACACAAATACTGTGCTTTTTTTTTTAACCATAAAGTATTTAAAAAATAAAAGCAGCTGGGCCCACAATCTCTCCCACCCAATGGAGGGAATACCGTGAGTCCTCTCCGGTGCAGGCCTCACCTGCCAGCGTTACAGCCCAATTGCCCCCGATGGGGCCCAGCAGCTGTGTGGGCCTGGATTTGAACCCCAAGGCACAGTGCCAGTTAGCTAAGGCCCACACCACAGGGACTGCAGGGCAGGCCTCGGCCTCCGCGGCCTCTCCGCGGGGTCTCCCAGATACCTGTGGCACCCGCTCCTTCTCCGCCTCACCCGCACTGACCCTCAGCCTGCCATGCCCCACTTGTGCCCTGGTGACGCTGCGTCTCCCACGCCCGCCTGCCACCTGCCTGCAGCTTCAAGTAGGTCTCCTCTGGCATCTCCTCGTCGTAAGTCTTCAGCAGCTCGATGGTTTGCTTCAGGGGCTCGAACATGCTGTCGGTGGCCACCTGCCGCTCCTTGACCTTCATCAGGTGCCCCATGACCTCCACGAGGCCGTCGTAGTCCCCTTCCTTCAGCTGCTTGGTCAGGCCCAAGCGGGTGACCTTCATGAAGGCTTCCAGGTCTGAGAGACTGGGGTGGGGGGGGTGGTGAGGGGCCACATGCCACTCGGTATCCACTCCACGGGGGGAGTGGGGGCTGCTGGTCACCCCCATGCCTGGCCGGCTCAGCTCGGATGCAAGGCCCTAGCTCAGAGAGCTCTCCGCGGGCCACCCTGGAGGGGTCCTCTCCTGGTCCGGCCCGGTCCTGGCCAGACTCGCATTCCACCATTGCTGGTTGGGATACCAGCTTTCCCACCAGCCCCCATCCCCCAAGCCTTCCTCCACCTCATGGGGCCAAAGGCGATGGAGAAATGGAGAAAGTCCGGTCCTTACTGTCTCCCGCGTCCTCCCCCCCCCCCCCCCCGCCCCCCCCCCCCCCCCCCGCGTGTCCCGGGCTCCACAGGGCCCCGCCCACCTGTTGATGACGTGGTTGCTCAGGTGGCGCTTGAGCATGAGGCTCCAGCGCTTGATGGTGTTGAGCAGGGCCTGTTTGAAGGGGCGGCAGTCGCACTGCAGCCAGCCATTGAACACCTTGGTGTTCTCGCACTTAGACACCTCCTCGTACAGCTTCTCGTAGGAGTCGATCTGCAAGACACCCGCCCATGGCTCCATCTGGGCTGGATGCCCCCCCCCCCGGGGGGGGGAGCGGAGCGCATGGTCCCTTGGAGTCCCCAGCTGTGGGAGGCCAAGCTGTTCCCCCCTCTCCCACCCCAGGGCTCCTGGCAGGCCCCCTCCTCCCACAGAGGGGCAGAGGGAGGAAGAGCGGGCAGAACCTTCACTGGCAGCTGTGGTCACTTATCCTAGGGCCCCTTAACGCCACAGCTGTCTCCTCCCTGGGGGATGGCTCACAGAGCACCCCTCCCCCAATGCCAGTCCTGGAGCTTAAACTCGGGATCTGGGGATCTAGTCCCTGAGCTCAAGTCTGGCACTCTACCATTTGACTCACACTTCCACCTTTGGCTTTTATTTTTGGTGGTTAATGGGAGATAAGAGTCTCTCAGACTTTCCTGCCTGAGCTGGCTTCGCACTGCGATTCCCCAGATCTCAGCCCCTGACTTGCCTGGGTGGCAGGCCTGAGCCTCGGGTGCCTGGTTAGACTCTGCTTCTTACTGGGCCATGGGAGTAGCCTTGGGGCTCACAGGTGAGCTGACCCCGGAAGGCTGGACTCTCCCAGAGCACCCAGCGGGAGCAAAGACCCCCCACCCCGAACTTGCTTTTCACCCACACCACCTGTGCCAGGGCCCGGCCTCCAGCCATGCGTGGCCTTGGTCCCCTTTCCTCAGGCTCTCTCAGGGCCTGACATCAGACAGAGGCCCAGTGTCCCTCTGTCCTCGCCACCACAGAGCTAGGCACAAGATGTCTCAGGCTGTTCCTGGAGCTGCGTGCCATGGCCAGGCCAGGCCCGAGCCTACAAACTGCGGGGAGGGAGCAGGAAGGGGGCGGGGGGCGGGGCACCTGCAGCTGGAACTGGTCCAGGGTGGGCGGCGTCTTGGGCAGGTTCTCTGGCCGCATCTCCAGCTCCTCCAGGGTGGGCGCGTGCCCGAAGATCAGAAAGTTGCGCATGAACTCCTGGGGGTCGTCCATCCACAGGTAGGAATACCGCTCGAACGAGTCCTGGTAGTCCTCCGCCTCCTTCATGGCGGTGATCACCAAGTTGGACAGCTCCTCCCGAATCTCCATGAGGTCCGTCATGTCCTCCAGCTCTGACTGCCAGGGGGTGGAGGGAAGCCGGCCGCTGAGGAGCGCGGCCCACCGCCCTGCAGTCCCTGGCCTGAACCTTCCTGAACTCGCCAGGAGGGAAACGGAGCTGGTCAACATGTGGCATTCTCCGGGCTCCCCTTGGGTAGACCTGAGGTGACTGGCACATGGACTTATTCACCCTTCACCTGCCTGGCCTCGCTGGGCCAGCCACCCGGGCAGGCAAGCGGGGCTGGGCAGGTGGACACTCGTCAGAGCCGCGTGGAAGCAGCACAGGTGGCTCTGGACCCTGCCTCAGTCACCACAGAGCCAAGGAGGCCCCAGAGGAAATGGCGATGGGCTAAGAGGTGGGTGGACAAAGCAAGACAAGCAGCTTTCTGGGCAACAGAAAAGCACCTGCAAAGGCCCTGTGGCGGGAGGAAGCAATGGCTGGAACAAAGTGCTCAGGAGGCCTGTGTGAGGTGAGTGAGCACAGCACAGCTGGTACAAGCAGAAAGAGAGCCATGGGCTCATGTGACTGAGAATTCCCAAGTGAGGTGTGCATGTGCATGGCGCATGCACGTGCACGCATGCGCATGCGCATGGGTACATGTGTGCTCTGCTCTTGTTTTGTGTTGGTACTGCAGCTTGAACTCAGAGGAGGGGAGGGGGGAAGGAGGGGGAGAGTGGCAGGCAGCGGCAGCCTCGGGTGGTTGCACGCACACACATCGGTTAGGCGCTAGCTCTGGGCTAGAAAAGCCGCTGGAGCCCCTGGGGGAGGGCTCGGGGCCGCCACTGACCTTGTAGCTTATCCTGCCCTTGGCCAGGCGGGGAATGAGCCTGGCCACATTGTAGATGTCGTTGACCAGGCCCTCGATCAGCGACAGGAAGCCCTCGTCCAGGCCCATCTCCAGCGAGGGGTTGAAGGTCAGCCCCTCCTCGTCCAGCTCCATGCGGACCTCAAACAGCGGGGCGATATCTTCCTGAAAGGAACCGTCCTGGGGTCAGGGAATCGGCCTCCACAGCGCAGCGCTCAGCACCCAGGCTGCTCACTCCGGACTGTCCACTCTGGCTGGCCACACCAGGCACCCACGAGGGTGCAGCTGTCTCCAGGGGACCTGAATCATAGAGTGAGCACCCTCCCCTTGGGCCCTGGCCCCAGAGCCGGCGGTGGGCCAGGCCAGGCCAGGCCAGAGGAAGGCAGGGTCTGGGGAGGGAGGTGAGCACACGGTTCAAAGCCCTGCACGAGCAATGGCTGCACAATCCCGGACAGTCGCCTCACTCCCAGTTCCCACAAAGCTACAACGCAGACCCTAGCTTTACAGGACAGGAGCACTGGCTGTACTTCCTGTCTGGATTGCCATCAGGATGAATGAATGAGTGAACCAATCACACCTGCAGTGGGTATGGAAACAGACAAACGCTCACATCCCTCGCAGACCCACTGCCGGCTGCTGGGTGCCAGGCCGCAGCTCTGACTGCTTCCACAAGATTGCAGCGATGCGGTGGGTATGAGGCCCAGGCCTGAGGAGTTGGGCCGGGGTTAAGCCATAGGGCCCTCCCTGCCACACCACTGAGGCCCCCCCCACCCCCCCAGCAGCCTGGCCCGTACCACGACCTCCAACCTCCCCTAGGCCCCAAGTCCCTCTGTGGGCCCTGGCCCGTGAGCTCCCCAGGCCTGGGGCGGGCTGCCAGGCGGAGCCTGCGATGCCCTCCGAGAACTGACCTGCAGGGCCAGGACTTGGGAACTGCGGAAGGCACTTCGTTTTCAGGGTGGGCATCATCATGGTTTTGGTGATGACCCTTGACGCCACTACCACCATTGGTGACCCCTTGCCATGCTGGGAGCCCCTTGGTGAACCGTCCCCCCCACGCCATGGTGGGGATCATTTTCCACCAAGTTTGGGGGCTGCGATTGGGCACTGCCACGGCTTAAAGGCGCGTCCCACACGTGCGGCCCCAGCAGGAGGCTCCACCCGCTCACTTCCAAGCAGGCCTTTGGGGCAACTCCCCTCCTTCCTAACCCCCCACCTTCCGGCCCACCCAGAGCAGAGACCCTCCACATGAGAGGCCCTGCCGCCACACACTTCCCACATTACCCCTGAGATAAACCTCTTCCGTGTGTTAGTGACCTACTCTGTGATGATCAGTTTTGTTTTTTGCCCCTGCAGGGTTATGAACTCAGAGCCTATGCTTGCTGGTCTTTCTTGCTCATGTGCTCTAGCAGTTGAGTTATGCCTCCAGACTGACTTCTTGCTGTTTTTTTTTTTTTTTTGGAGATAGAATCTTGTAGATTTTTCTGTCTGGGCTGGTTTTGAACTGTGATCCTCCAGATCTCAATTTCCTGACTATCCATGCTGACCGGGAGCCACCTGGCCTGGTGTGGTTGTGACTTGGCTATAGCAGCGGAGCATGGGCCGAGATCACCATGGAGGTCAGACACAGCTCGCCTGCCTCCCACATTGGTCTGAGCCCCCTTCCTATTTGTGGGCTGCTTCCATCTCACCTTACCGGTAGTACTTGGGATCATTTAGGAACCTTTGTAATAAAGAGAACATGGGCATCAGATACCAGTGGCTCATGCCTGTAATCCCAGTTCACTCAAGAGGCGGTTTGAAGTCAACTTGATAGGAAGGTCTGTGAGATGCCTATCTCCAATAAACTACCCCCCAAAAAAAGCCAGAAGTGGGACTCTGGTTTAAGTGACAAAGTGCTAGCCTTTGCAGAGAAAGCTCGGGGACAGCGCCCAGGCCCTGAGTTCAAGCCCCAGGTCTCACATGCACAGGAACATGGTAGGGAATGGGCCATCACCTTGGCAAACTCTAGTGAATGTCTCCGTGGAGTTCACCTATACGTCCTCCTGATTACCCTATCTAATGCTCCTGGTGAGCCCGGCAGCCGGGCAGGGGCTGCTGGCTGGAGCGGCTGGCAGGACGCCGCTCTGCCATCCTGTGCACCGGGGACCGCGGTACTGCTTTTCTCCCCTCAGCAGCAGGGCGGGCCCCCTGGGCCTTCAACAGCGGATTGGCGCTGTGGCAAATCCAAGGAGACCTGCTGTCCTGCAGGCCGGGGGCTGAGAAGGCAAGGCTTTCTGTTCTAAAACCTGGACAAGTCAGGCGCTGGTGGATCATGCCTGTCATCCAGCCTCTCAGGAGGCTGAGATCTAAGGATCATAGTTCAAAGCCAGCCCAGGCAGGCAGGAAAGTCTGTGAGACTCTTACCTCCAATGAACCACCAGAAAGTGGTGGAAGTGGTGCTGTGGCTCAAGTGGTAGAGCGCTAGCCTTGAGCTGAAGAGCTGAGGGACCGTGTCCAGGCCCAGAGCTCAAGCCCCACGACCAGTACCCCCCCCCAGCCCCACCAATAAAACAAAAACAAAACCCTGGACATCTTGGTCACTCCAGGCAGAACTGACAGGTCTTTTGACCTGTAAAATGATGGTAGCCTGCTCCTCCATCAACAAGCTCCACGGCATAGCTAGGAGCAGTGGCTCACACCTGTAATCCTAACTGAGCGGGAGGAACGCAGTTCTAGGCCAGCCTGGGCAGAAAAGTGTGCACAGCCCCCTTTTCTCTACCAGGAGCTGCGTGTGGGGGCCCAGGCCCTCCATCTCACTTCAGGACATGATGGGGAGCTTAACTTAGGGGGATTGCAGTGCAGGAGGGGAGGCCCTGTCCCAAAATGCACCAGTGCCAAAAAAGGGCCGGAGGTGTGGCTCATCAGTACACCACCTGTGCAGCAAGCATGGGTCCAAATGGTCGATTCCAACACAGCTCTTGCCACACACACACACACACACACAGACACACACACACCCAGACACCCAGACACAGACACACACACAGACACAGACACACAGACACAGACACACACACAGACACACACACACAGACACACACAGACACACACACACACACACACACCCCTCTGTTGACGACTTACATCCATCACCATGTTGTCCGTTAGGTAGTTTAGAGATTTGCGGATGAAATGGTCAAACTCATCTAAGACCAGGTTGTCGACGTAGCTGACGTAGTCCTTCCAGGACTGGCTTGTGGCGTCTGCTTTGAACAGCTCCAAGTTCTCCTGCACATGGAGGCAGGAGTTTGGCCAGGGGAGCCCCCATCTACCCTCCTCCTCTTTCCTCGGTCTGTCTCAGGACGCTCTGGACCCCCAACCTCATCCTTCCCCCCAAGGTCTGCTCTGAGCTCCCGGGATGTGCCCAGGGTCTCCCGTGGCAGGGCGGGGGGGGGACGCAGGTAAGAAGATCTGGTGTCCTGGTAGGGGCATGCCACTTGCCTATACCAGCTTTGTGCAGGCAGAAAAGGGCTCTGAACCCCTGAGACCAGAGGGGCAGCCCCACCCCCCCAACAAGAGGAGCCAGGCTCTGAAACATGGCAGGGGGTGGGTGTGGGGGGTAAACATGGCAGGGGGTGGGTGTGGGGGTAAACTGCATTCGGTGGCAGATCATGGGCTTTGCCCGTGGCACTCTTCCTCTGTGGCCAGCTCCCAAGGATCCCACCTGCTCCTCACCGCAAGCATGGCTTGGATCTTGATGCCCGCCTCTTTGACGGCCGTGTAGCGCTTGTTGAGGTTGACGACCCTTCCATCCAAGTCCAGCAGGGCCGCCTCCTTGTTGTCCTTTCTTTCAAACAGGGGGTTGGCTGACCAGTCCTGGCAGGGCACGGCAGGGTGGGGACAGCTTTGGAGGCTATGCTGGCCCTTGCTCTTGGGTGGGCGCCCTCCTCCCTTCAGGCCTTGGCCTGGAGCTGAGGTGTCTGTGCCCTGAGCGTACCCAGGGCCCGAGGAAGCGTGGGAGGGGATGGAGATCCCACTCATTGAAAACTGCCTCCCAACCCCAAACGGTGCCGGGCCTCAGTGCTCAACCTGTAATCCTAGCTACTCAGGAGGCCAGGATGTGAGGATCAAGGTGGGAAACAAATTCAAGAGACTCGCATCTCCAACCAAACTGTAAAAAGCAGATATGGAGGTGCCAGCCTTGAGCAGAAAGCTACAAGAGATGGTGTGAATTAGGGCTGCTGACCGGCTTTGGGAGAGCAGTCCCTCTCCCCACAGTGCTCCGGAAGGAGCTGGAGGTGAAGAATTGTCTTGTTTTTGTGCTCTCCCAGAGGGCTGAGCCTCAGCCAGTCTCCTTCCGCCCCTCCTTCCGGGCCCTGGCATGGAGGGGCACAGGCTGGGCTCTTGCACATACATCTATGAGCTCAGGTGAATGGAGCAGAATGAATTCCAGAGTGACTGGGCTCTTTCTGCCTCGGGACCCCCCATGACGCCGTTGTACTGGCCCAGGGCGTTAGGGGATGGGGTCCCTCGGCCTCTTATTATGGGCCATGGACCCCTCCCCGGCTCCATCTGGCTTCCCGGAAGCCCTGTCTATGGCGTGCTCACCCTCATGGCCTGGATGATTCCTTCTACATTCTGCTTGGCCCTTTGCATCCTGGTCTCCAAGTTGTGTAGAATTTCCCGCATCTCTTGAATATACTGGAACACACCTGAAACAAAAGCATTAAGGACTTTTCCTTAAGGACACTGGCAGGGCAGAGACTCCTCTTGGGCTGTCTGATTGTTCATGACCTGGGTCGGCCTAGAAAACACGGCTGCTGCTCTACAGTGTGAAGAGACGTCCCCATTCCGTCCCCATGGGCCCTCACGGAGTGCTGGAGAGACTGGAGGTTTTGTGCCCAGGGCTGCGGGGCCTGGGGGCAGTGGGAGAAGGCCATGGGGCACAGGGGAAAGACAGGAGCTCTTACACAGACACCCTGATGGGGGTGACATGACAAGATCACTTGGTCCCACCTTCTCTTTGAGACTGAGGGGCCGGCCGCACCAGGAGGCTGGGAAAGGTGGCCAGTGACACACAAAAGGCCTCACAGGGAAAGGAGGCACAGTGGGGTGCTCCTGGGGCTTTGGGGAGGCCTGGGCCTTTTCCTGTCTGGTGTTGGGTGGAGGGAGATTTGTGTGCCCCACTTCCTCCCACTTTTCCAGCGTCCACCCTGAGCCAGCGGAGACTAGCGCTTGCTTTGTGGCCTTTTTGTGCACGTTCGGTTAGGAAGCGAGCAAGGCCAGGCCTCCCGTGAGACCAGACTGGAAACGTGGCTGCTGCTGGGGTGGGGGGTGGGGGTCTTTGCCCAATGCTGGTCGTGACATGGAGGACAGGACCTTCTGGTCTGGACAAGCAGAGGCAGAATGCCAACACAGTTTACAGCATGGGCCTAGCAGTCAGCAGCAGTGACCCCTCCGGGGGACCTGAGGCTGGGTACTGGGCACCCTGGGGACCCCACCCCGGGCTGAATGCCCTCACACCTTCACCATTCCAGAACAGGGTGGTTTCGGCACTTGACAATTTCACATCAATTTCTTCCAGTTCTGACTTGATCAGTGGAAACTCCACACTCATCACCGTAGTCTTGATCTGCACAACCAAGGCCACAGGGTTAAGGCTTTGTCCCCGGTCCATTACGGTGGCCAGGTCGGTCTGCTTTCCATCGCTGCCAGCAAACTCTCTGGGAGGCCCACTTCAAGGAGGAGAGGTTTATTTTGGCTCAGATTGGAGGGTTCAGTCCAGGGCTGGCCCAGCTGCTTGGGGGACCGGAGCCACCGTGACAGAAGCGTGTGGCAAAGGAAGCTGCTTATCTTGGGGTGGCCAGGAAGAGAGAGGAAGGCAGGGGTAAGGGTAAGGAGGCCCCCTTCAAGGACACACCCCCAAACACCTAACTTCCTCTCGCTAGGCCACACCTCCCACCCCCAGCACCTAGCCTTTGGGTAGGTTTAAGGTGCCAACCACCACTGCCATTGCCCCGAGCTGGCTAAGTTCTATGAGCCGGGGTTGCCTCAAAGGAAGCTGGGTGCATGAGGGTCCACCAGACTCTGGCTTTCGGGGGGCACTGGGTTCCCCTTGCCAGGAAGGAGGAGCTCTAGGAGGGACTATCCCCAAGGCTTATCCATCGCAGTGACTCATTTCTACCAGCTTCTTTGAGATTCTGCGTCAGGTCCTCGAGCCACAGAGGCTGAGGATGGATGGCCGCCACCTCTGGGCGCGCCATGCGCAGCCTCACCTGCACGTGGTGGGCGGCGCTGCTGGCCATTGGTGATCTTTGCCCGGACTTCAGGAAGTGCTTGCTGCCTCCTGCCACTTACGTGGAATGGGTTTACTATCATCCAAAATATGCAGACTGTGGGGCGTTGCCCGAGGGCAGTGGGAACCTGCTTCCTGTCACTGGCCCTCGCTGTCGCCACTGGTTTTCTCTCCCATGGATGACGAAGAGTGGTTGGAACTAATCCTGGCGTTCAGCTCCACTGCTGTGTTCTGTTTGGCGTGGAGGCCTTCCCTTACTGCGGCTGGGCGAAGCCCATCCGGGAACACGCGGTACTCACCTCGTTATACCAGCCCACAATGAGCTCCAGGTTGCCCACGAACTTCCGGAAGGTCTCGTTGTCTGCAAACAGACTCTCGGCGCTAACCGGAATGTCTTTCTGCTGCTGGAAGTTCAAGTACTTGACTTCCCTCAGGACTGCCACCAACTGAGAGGGAAATGAAGATTGCGGACTGTGAGGAGAGGGAGGCTGGGGCGGGACACTGTGAGGAGAGGCAGGGCTGGGGGCGGGACACTGTGAGGAGAGGGAGGGCTGGGGCGGGACACTGCCCTGTGGCCGTTCCCAGGCCGTGTGGCCAGAGGTTCACTGTCCTCACCCCGCCCATCTATCTGAAATGAAAACCACGGACATGGGCACCATCCTGGGGTGAGGTCATCGTCATGTCTCATCTCTGCCCCCTTCCCCTGACCCCAGGCTGTGTAGGAAAGGACCTCGCCGGGGTCCCCCTGGGATCTGGTCTTCCCGAATGTCCCTCCTCCTCACACACACATGTGATCTTACACTGCTTCTGTCCCCTAAGCCATTTCCATTGTCAGCAAGGTCCCAGGGACCTCCATCATGTCACATGACCTTCCCACAGGCCACACCCACCTCCTGGGCACCGGAGCTCCTCAAAAGCACATAGTCAGTGCTCAGTAAATACTTGCATGTAGTGGAAAGAAAGGTTTCTACAGGAAAGCCAGGCCCCTGGCTTCCCTGGCTTCCTGGAACTCCTTCCTGCCCAGATAGACAAGTCTCGAGCCGTGTGCGGCTCAGCCCCTCTCCTGCTTCAGCCTTCCCTGTGCATCAAGGTCCAGCCCTGTGCCCACTGCTGCCCCCACCAGTCGTCATCTCTGGCTTGCCCACATTGGCCAACCACACTATATCAGGGGCTCAGAGGACCCCTCAGTTGGGCCCTAGAAGGCCCAAAGGGGAATGAGACACAGGCCTTGGCCTCCCACCTCCATTTTATGTCTGCCATTGCCCTGCGCCCTTCCTTGGCAGCTGCCAGGAATCACAAAGGACAGGACTGTGGATTTCATCATATGACAAGAGCCAAAAATAACATTCATATTGCGACCGCGCCCCACCTAGCCATCCAAGGATGCGTGGATGGTTCACACGGCTGCCTGTTTAATATTCTCACCCCTGCCCCCCAGTTCTCCCTCTGTTTAAACCTAAAGCTCATGTCTGTACCCCAAAAATGAGCTGCAGTGCTCATTCCTCTTCCTATAGTGCACAGTGTTGTGTGCTGTCTCCTTCCTGAGTGCATTGTAGTGAGGAGCCTGGCCTGATGTGTTGGAACCCATAGCTGGACTGGAATTTGGGTGGTAAGTCCATCTTTCTAGGTCCTGTAGAGGCCTGCTTTCCTTCCCTCCCTCCCTCCCTCCCTCCCTCCTGCCTTCCTGCCTTCTTTTTCTTGTTGGGCTGGGTTTGGAAACCAAGACCTTGCACACAGCCCACAATCACTCCATTGCCAAGCTACAACTCAAGCCCTGAAGCTGTTTTTGAGGATGCTATATCTCCCGGCATCCCTAAGACACAGAGCTACAAGCTACCTGGAACACACACACACACATACACATGCCGAACACGCTGTGGCAGGACATGTTTGCCTGCAGCCTTGGTGGGCCTGGGGCTTCTCCCCCTCCCCGAGTGGCTGGGGACCCACCGCCTTGCTGAAGTTGACTTGGATGAGGTCCGTGGCGGCGTCGCGCTGTATCAGCGGCTGGCCCAGGTTGAAGTGGCAGTCCTGGTCCACCCCCTGCACCCACCGCTGGTAGGTCTTCTCTCGGTAGTTACGCAGTAGCTCCATCATCTCCTCGTACTTCTTGTAGGTCAGCTTGGCCTCCACACTGGACATGACCCTGGATATGATCGAGGGGATGAGGGGGTGCAAGTAGGGGACCAGGCTGAACCCTGACCTCTCCTCAGTGCCTTTGAAGGCAAGTCGGGGAGGCACAGCCTGTTCTGTTCCTTCCAGGCTGACCAGATGAATATGAAAATAGAGCCCAACCCCTGAATCTGTGATCGGCAGCCCCCCAAACCCCGGGAGTGGCTCTTGCAGAGGCTGGGCTGGGGGGCAGGGCTTGGGTGGGCGGGGCTTGGGCGGGGCAGGCCTGCCCACTCTCTACCAGCAGGAACCTCCCGGCAGGCTTACGGATGCTCAATGTGCTTCAGGTGTTTCATGGACACCTCCAGCCTCTCCTGCAGCTCCAGGCTCCATTTGAGCTGCCCGGCCACGGGAGGCATGTTTTTGTGGATGGGGGGGATCTTGTTGTTGGCCGACGCGGCCATCTGGGCGTCATAGAGGAGCTTGGCGTTGTCCAGCTCCCCGTCAAACATCTCCAGCATGGTGGAGTACCTGGGGACCACCTCGACGAGGATCAGGGGCCGCTCCAGGAGGCCACCGCACATGTACAGGAGCTGCAGGCACAGGAGGGGTGAGTCTGAGGCCTCTGCCTGCCCTGTGCCCGGCTTGCCACAAAACAGGCAAGGGCTGAGCACCAGGGCCAAGAAGACGAGGAAGCTGCGGGAACCCCGCCCTGCGTGGCGGGTGGCGAAATGGCCGCTCTGGGACTCCCGAGCTGCTGCATTTCAGGGCCCCAAGCACCTGCTGAAAGCCCGTCCAGAGGCCTCGAGAATTTATCCCTAGTCCAGGAGGAGCTGCAAGAGGCCACTTAAGAGATGTTTCTACTTGGGCTGGGAAGGTGGCTCAGTGGTAGAGTGCTTGCCTTGCATGCATGAGGCCCTGGGTTTGATTCCTCAGCACCACATAAGCAGAAAAAAAAGCCGGAAGTGGTGTTGTGGCTCAAGTGGTAGAGCGCTAGCCTTGAGCTGAAGAGCTGAGGGACAGCGCCCAGGCCCAGAGTTCAGGCCCCACAACCGGACCCCCCCAAAAAAAGATGTTTCTACTAATGCCTGTAAATTGACTAAAAGACCCCCTGCTAAGTCTGTGCCCTTCAACCTCTGACCTCTGACCTCCGACCTGAGCTATTTTCTGCTGCAGTCCCTTTGCAAAGGGCTCATCCTGTTTGCAGGAGGAAAGCTCTCAACAAGTGTCAGTGCGGAGGTAAGCTGCCCCTCACACAGGTCTCTTTCTTGTCCTTTTGAAGGAAACAGCCCAGAACTCAGGAGATCACACGGACTCCTGTCCAGTCACCAGGTAAGAAATTCTCCCGGACCTCCTCAAGGATGAAGATTGGGGTCAAGGTCAACCAAGCCGCAGTCCTGTGATCTGAGACTGCTTCAGCTCTGCACACTTTCCTCACCCCGCCCCCAACCCCCCTATTTAACCTGAGGCCAATGCTCGAGAAGATGCACCGGGTGCTGTCTTCCCATGCCGGCCGCGTAACAACACGCCCGTCTCTGCCCTTCACCACGTCTCTCTCTTTGTTTGGCATATGGAGGTGAGTGGTGGCTAGTCCTAACTTGGGACTCCTGGACTCTGGGCCTGGGGTCTGAAAACCCGGTTTCAGGATGAAGATGTGGATCAGAAAGAACCCAACAGTCAGAAAGTACAGTGAGGCTGTGGAAAAGACTACTTGTCCACAACCAAGGCTGACAGGAAAGCTTGGGGCTCCGCAGGCAAGAGGAGCCATTGCTGACAGATTTGCCTTGCTCTGAAAAAAGCAATGGGGGCAGAGAAGGCAAAGCAAGGGGGTCTTATGATGTAAGAGACGGGGAAGGAGTAGGATGCTGGCTAGAGCCGCCTTCCTCTCTGCCTGCTTCCTGTCTTCCATGAGACAGGCAACTCCTCCTTAACACATCTTCCTGCCATGAAATTCCACCTGACCTCTGCCCCACAGCGATGGGGCAGACCAAACAGGGATGAAAGCCTCTGAAAGCTGGAGTTGAACCAGTCTTTCTCTCAGTGCGTACCAGAGCAATGGGAAAACTGGCCAAACAGCTCTGAGATTGACCACCACAATCATCCGACCAGCAGTGGTCAGAGTCAGGCCAGACCAATTCTTTTCCCCTCAGTCCCTCCCCCCTTTTATTTGTACTGGTCCTGGGAACTGAACCTAGGTCTGGGTACTATCCCTAAGCGTTTTTGCTGAAGGCTGGCACTCCTCCACTTGAGCCACAGCTACACATCTGGCTTTTCTGGTGTCTCATGGACTTTCCTGCCTGGGCTGGCTTTGAACCGTGGTCCTCAGATCTCAGCCTCCTGAGTTGCCAGGATTACAGGTGTGAGCCGCTGGTGCCAGGCTTCACTTTGCCTTTTCACTAAGGCCCAGCCACTGGGCTTCCACATTAAAGGAGTGAACTCGCTCAGACCCTCTGCCTCCCAGAGGCTTTGTTCATAGCCCAAGGGGGCTGTGTACCAGTGTTCCTCTGCTAGCACCCCTTCAGTGCCACAGCTAAAGCCCAAAGCTCCTAGGATGTATAGGGCTGGGTCCTGCCACACACACAGCCTCCGGGCTGGGGAGGCCAGGGTCACACAAGGACACTAGTGCTCAGAAGACTAGGGAGGGATGAGCCAAGAAAGAAACCAAGAGGAAACATCAGCTGGCATGGGAAGACGGGAAAGGGCAGGGAGATGCTTCCATGCAGGGAAGAGGAGGGATCAAAGGAAGAGGAGGGGGAGGAGGAGGAAGAGGAAGAGGAAGGACAAGGAGGAAGAGGAAAAGGAGAGGAGGTGAGAGCAAGACAAAGAGGAGAGGAGAAGGGAGAAGAGAAGGAGGTGGAAAGGGAGGAGAGGGAGGAGGAGGAAGAGGAGAGGAGGAGAAGGAAGATGAGGAAGAGGAAGAAGAGGAGGAAGAGGAAGAAGAGGAGGAAGAGGAGAGGAGGAGGAGGAAGAGTAGGAGAAAGAAGAGGAGGGAGGAGAAGGAAGGAGGAGGGAGTAGGAGAGAAAGGGAGAGGAGGAGGAGGGGGAAGAGGAAAAGGAGAAGAGAGGAGAGGAGAAGGAGGAAGAGGAAGAGGAGAGAAGGAGGAAGAGGAGGAGGCCTCTGGTAGGAGATGGCCAGAGGAGAGGCCCCCAGGGAATGGTGACAAGGTTCTGTGCTCAGCCACCCGAGCCAGGCTCCTGGCCCTCCCAGGCCATCTGTGCATGTCCTTGTGAAATCCATGAGTTAGCAAAGAGCTGCAGCTGAGCTGAGCAGGAAGCTCGCCAGACACCTGACCTGCGGGGACACCAGACCCGCCCCTCCTGACCCGGCCCCTCCCCAGGCCGCCGCTGGTCCTCTCCAGTTCCAGGAGAACGAGAACCCTGCTGGATTGCTCAAGCAGTACGAGCCCTAACTCCTGTCTTTCTCCATCCAGTGGCCCCACCTGCTCCTTGGACGGTGACCTCACCCTCAGAGTTAGGATGGCGGTGGACCCCAGCCTCTGCCCCACACAAGAGACCCCAGACTTGCCACCATCCAGATATAGCCTGCTTTACAGTGGGCACTGCCCAAGGATTGTTCCTAAGCCACAGTGGGGAGGCGATGCATTCATTTGCATTCATTGATATTTTGCATGGAGCACAGATTGACTGGCCCAAGGCTTAACTGATTATTATATTGCCACAAAGGCTGTGTGTGTGTGTGTGTGTGTGTGTGTGTGTGTGTGTGTGTGTGTGT